TGAAACCACGGTGAGTTTGAAGGGATGTGAGAATATTGTAAAAATTCCGAAATTTTCAAAGATTTAAATTGATTTTGTTATTTCATCATTTCCTAGTATAGCTAGTTTCGTTCTTAGATGACTTCCTTTCTTGTACATAATGTTCGGATATAAATACTCGTAATTTTAAGACATTATAGAGTCAAATAGTACAATAATTCTTTTCCTTACTACCGGTTTTAACAATGATTATGTCTTTAATGATCCCTACCTCAGAATTGCTGGACTTAATGAACCTGCACGTTCAAAGCTTGTCATGATGAGGAATCCCTCAACATAAAGAAGGGCGGGCAGGGCTTCCGCAAGAGCCTCCTATCAATACTTGTAGGAGCGTCAGAGAGTAGGGGTGAGCATGGTTTGAGTGGGCGGTTCCCAACATGGAACCAGGAACCGCCCACTAAGAACCAGTTCCGAAAAATTGGAATCGAGAACCGCTCGTTGGTTCCATGGAATCGGTCCCACCAAGTTTCACGCAAATGGAGGTGACCAAGAGCGAGAGAGGGAGGCGATGAACGGTCGGAGGTGCGGTCGTGAGTTGATGACAGTTGAGGCCGTGAGTCAATGGACGATGAGCGTAAAAGTCGAGACCATGAATGAGAGATAGAGAGATGACTAGGATAAAGTGACAGAGAGAGAGAGAGGTGAGACGAGCACTTAGTTGATGAGCGTTGAACTTTAGATTAGAGATTTTAGGGTTTTCATTTTTCTTAAAATGTTATTTTTTTTTTGGTTGGAAATCTTTCTAAAAAATGATGTGTATACATATTATCGGTCCGGTCCCGGTGGGTGAGTGGGCGGTTCCACGTCTAGAACCGGGAACCAGACCGGTACTCACCGGTTCTTGTAAATTGGAACTGGGAACCGGACCGGTCCCCACAGGAATTGCCGGTTCCGGTCCGGTCCAAGCGGTTACACCCCTACCAGAGAGACACTAAAGGTGCGGCAAATGGATTGAGAACCTTCTCCAAAACCATGTCCTCATTAACCATTGTTTTTTACAAGAAAACGGACATATATATTGTGAACAAAAAGATGAATATGACATGCTCAAATTTCTTGCTATCACTCCAGTTGATAACCTAAGGAACCAAAATCCAAGAGCCAGAATATAATTGGTAGTATTATGTTCTTATATGTATTCAAGTCCAATTGAAGATACATAATTCCTGCGGGATATTAAACGCAGCAACATATATTCACAATCCCCTTGAATCGCCGGGGACATGGATCCACTGCAACTCAAGCTTGAGTCCATCGCGCTCAACGTCGGAAAACCTTCCTTGGTACAACTTTGCCGTCATTCATGCGATGCAGCTCTCTCTTCAGCTAGGCAGTTTTGCAGGCTCGGTTGCATCCCCCCGATTATCAGTCTTATTCGTGGAATATTTGTGGCCAAATTGAAAATGATGAAACATATGAATCGTGCCCTAATTTCAACAAAAGTAAAGCATTCTGATGAAACATGCTCTACATATTTTCGTGGCGTTGAAATTAAGCACGGAATTCATATGAAATGCAGAAGCAAGCATTGCGCGAGACAACGAAAGAGCATGGGGCCATGGTCACGCGTATTCATTAATATATAGGGCGTACGGTCACATGTAGATGTTAGAATCGGGAACACTTGGATGGTCCAAAGATAAATGATCAGTGAATCATTTGAAATCAATGAGAAAGGAACACTTGAGTTTCTGTCGGGATGGAAGGGCAATTTGAGTGCCCTAACTGGGTCACAAATAGGGTTTTCGCAAGACCAAAGTTTTGGATGCTCCAAGAATTAACCTGGCCTTGCATTAGAAATATGATATCCTACTATTTTCTAATTAACCATTTAATTTTATTATTTCATAATAAGGACGGTTAAAGGTGCCGGTCGTCCTTGTGTTGGGAAAAGCCTTTAGTACTAGTCGTTATGTGAAAATCCTTCAACAAAATAATCAAAAACTACTAATGTGCTTAATGGTTGAGTAGCTAGGTGAAAGATGCACAAGTCGTTTTGTAGATGATGTCCTAATAGGATCATCTAAAGATGAGGAGTACACTATTTTATCAATAGTGAACAAGGCATTGGGTGTAGAGGTGTCTACAAGCTAGAGGTACCTGAGTAGAAGGTGAACAAGCCTAAAACAAGGGTTCCGGTAAAGCTTGAAGGTACCATGAATGGGTGAACAGCGAGGTAGAGCCACGATTGCCAATATGCTTGGAATGACTAGAAGATAAAAGTTGGAGTGAAGTTGATATACTTTGCTGATATCAATAATATCCACGTTAAAAGAAATGTTGATATGATCAGTGAAAAAATTCTAATTGACTTGAAGAACCTATGTGGAGCACATATAATCTTGGATATGCCAAGGTGTAAGCCTTTAGGATCTACAACACTATCGTAATCAAAGTGTCTCAAGAAGAACAATTGAATATATCCAAGATGCCACATTTATCTATTGCTTGAATATAGGCAGCGTACTGTGTGGATATGAGTAGCGTACTGCGTAAGCTGGAAATAACCAATGTACGATGGATATAAGCAGAATACTGAAGGCTGGATATCAATAGAAGCTTTATTATACATATGAGTCCGATATCATCAGGAAACTTGTTATACGTGGAGCGATAGCACAACATGAGATACTTATTATTTTATTTATCTTCCAAGATAAAATACCTTATCTTTAACGGATAGTGATCTAGCATGGATTCCTTAATTAGAAGATTATATAATCTGCATAATACTAATCATGCGAGATATCTTGATTGATTGATAATCAACCGAAAGGCATACTTTCCGTAACGAAGTTACTCTATTTCTGAAAACCAAGATTTGATTGTATAGGTGACCAAATCTACGGGAATTCTGATTGATTGACTTCAACGACTAATTAATCTTTAAAACAATTGTCCAACGGCTAGTTTGGAGATTGATTCTCTTGAGGATTGTCCAACGGGAAGTTTGGATGCTGCGAAGTATAAAAGAAGACCAAGGTGCGGAAGAGGTTACGAGATCATGAGTTGATGAATCCAAATTTAAAGAGAGCTTTTCATTCTTTACTTTGCCTTCTGAGTGCATTCAAATTGTACTATTTCGAGAAGTGTTAACAGTATTATAGCTATGCTTAGGTGTGAGATAGTGAGATTTATCAGCTTGGGTATAAGCAGCATTAGTTTCGAGGAGAAGTGCTTGAGTATAAGCAGCATATTCTATTGTAATTTCAAGAAAATTTCTAGTGAAATCAACCGGTAAGCTATTAGACTGGAAGAGTGGATGTAGGCTTACACCAAGCCAAAACATTATAAACTCTTGTGTTTTGTTATTTGTCTCTTTGATCCTATTTACTTACTGATTGATAGAAGCACTATACTACACTGTTGAATATCATCAGAATCTGCTTATATTAACATTTTGTTTTTCCCGGTCGCATTTATATCATACTTGACACTTTTAATTCCGTAATATTTTGTCAAGTATCTTGAAGTCACCTATTTACCCCCCTCTAGGTGATACTTTTAGCCAACATCACCTTGTCCTTTTCCAATTTGTTAAATGTCATCCAGTACTATCTTTTTGGCCAATGTGGACCTTGAACAAAGAGGCCGCGTTATGGTTGCAGTGTGGAGCTACAATGTGGGTTTTCAATTTCTTGGCGAGATCGCAATTAGAGATTTGAGGATTTCAATCCCTTCTTCTTGTTGATGATGTTACTGATGATGCATGTGGTGGTTCTTGTTGTGGGAATACTTGCAAAATGCAAAAATGGTGTTGGTAGGGCGATAGATTTGTAAATTGATTGCGCCTCTTTTTTCTTCCTTCCAATTTGATTGCAGCTGTGCCACTGCTGCCCCTGTCCATATCGGGCGAGGTTGCAACGGATCTCGCCGGCAAGTGGCAAGGGCCATGGCCCTCACTTGCTCACTGGTGACACACACCATCTCTCATTCTTTGGTCTGGTTCAGCAGAGGAGGTGGCAATGGTGTCCGGGCCAGCTTCGCTCGAGTCTGAAGAGGCGTGTCCATCGACCCCTAGTCACCGCCAACGTAATTTCTTTCTCCCCTAATTGTATTTTACATTTTTTTTCTTCAAATTTCTATTTGAAAGACATTTTTGATTTGTTTTGTGTTTATTTCCTTTTAATTACACGTGAGATACTTGCTCGATGACTGTATTTGAACATAAACTTCTCAATGGAAATCTATAAAATGCATAGAGAAAGTAAAAACCTCGCACGACATGGTTGGAAAGCTTCTACAAGACAAGTACCGGAATTAGAAAATTTAAAATTAAGAAATTAAAAACCCAATTCGAAAGATCTTCTTCGAGATCCGATGAGCTTCTTGTGATTTGTGATGTCTTTTGTGATGTCTTTTGACTCTTGCTCACAATCTATTGTCTGCATTGAATGTGCTGAGAGCCGTTCACAGATTTTTCCTATAATTTATGAGCTGTTCCTTCATAGATCCCGTTCTTCTCTAGCTACGTTTAATCATTTGGTCAGTGGAGCCACCATGACTCAATTTTCAACATCCTTTCCCATTTCGAGTCAATTGATTGTGTCCACGCGTCATCTACTCCACTTAAACTCATTCAATTGAAAGCTCAAGATACGAGTTCATCAGGCATTCCACTAGCGGGCTTGTGGATTGTACAATTATGACTCTCATGATTGATGAGTTTATTAGATATTCTATCGATGGATTTTGCTAATTATATTGTGTTTGCTATGGAGTAGTTTACATTTGGGCTCAAATTTTGGGCCCGGTGTCAATGGGCACAGGCCCAACCTCATATCAATTGCTTTTCTGTGTGGAGAGCTGATCTTATTGCAGCTCATCATTCCATTCGAATGACCAATTATTCTCATGTTAATACCAACAATTTCCATCGTGAACTTCATAGTCCAATTATATGACTTATTAAGATGAACGTGACTACTCCTTTACAGCCGTTATATACCGCAAGGAGTCACTTATATAACAAGCTTCTTCTTATAGTCAGATGCACCAATCGCAAGTTTAGTAAATGGTCTAGTTATAGCACACTTTTAGATAATTACATAGCACATAAACGACTCAACTTTGGCCCAGTAGAAATAGCTTGTAAGCCACAGCTAGATAACGGCTTGAGGACTATTGCCAAGAAGTTCCCAAACGTCGGCATCGAAAGAGAGCTCGTTCCAACCATTTTGTCTCTCTTCCATGGATTCCCGAGGCCAAGAATTTGCGTCCGGCTGTCCTTCTAAGGTGCTTCTTGAGGTGAGGAGTCCTTCGTCGGGGCCGCTGTTGGTGAACAGATTTTCCCACCACGTGCTCTCCTTGTCCTGACGAGACAACACTGGGGATGGTTGTCCAGGGTTTTCACCTGGTGGAGTCCATGAAGCCACCAGGGTGGCTTTTCCCATGAACCATGCCGAGCTCTTCGATAAGGTCCAAGGTCGAGGCCTGATGACGTTCACTTTGGTGGCGCATTTGCCGGGCCGGCTGTCTTCCTTCGGCTTGTGATAGACGAACTTTTCAGCCAAACGTGTGTTCCAATAGTTCTTCACGTCGTTTGCGGTTCTTCCCGGAAGTCTGCCCGCAATCAGTGACCATCTGCAAGAACTTGGACAGATTATCATCTAGAATATGAGAATTAGGGAAGGATGATTCATTAGATCAACATTGGTTACCATCGAAAGTAAAATGGAACACTTATATTCAGTTAGCATACACACGAATTGGAATAAATAATTCTGCATACCCTCTCGTGTCTTAAATTTTAATATGATATGATATTTCTATGTGCCTACTTGTGTCTTGCTTGTTTAAGTTATCCGTGCAGGGCATGGACTTATTTCGATTCCCATATCGCCAATTAACTCAATTGTCAAATCATAGTAACATTACTAGAGGTTTAAATGACATCACACATGCTAATATTGGTTAAGAAAAGGACATGCACGTCCCTTAAGCTTGTAATTTCAGTGCTCTTAGCACATTGATAATTGATAGTGTATTTCTAATTTGAGATTGATTCATCTGTCCAGAACTTTGACTACGACATTAATATTTCATTTTTATTTGTATCCATTTCTCAGTTGAAAACAAAACATCGAATCACTTTGGTTTTTTGTTTCTTCCTTTTGGTTACCTCAGGAATCCACAACTTCACAGCTGAAAATTCTCTCTCTCTCTCTCTCTCTCTCTCTCTCTCTCTCTCTCTCTCTCTCTCTCTCTCTCTCTCTCTCTCTATATATATATATATATATACATCATATGCGCATAACTTTGAATATCATTTCAATTGCCTTACATATGCCACCTCTTGCTTTCCATTTTTTCCCTTAATCGAAAAGGCGAGCATCGACAACCAGATTGACGGCTCCCTCTAAGCACTACCAAGAGAATTCCACGCCTCGCTATGTAATGTTCGAACCTAAGACTGTGAAAGGGCTTTCGTTCTGCCTAACTCATGGCCCATTGGTCTGAGGTTGGCGAGTCATGTCACCATAATTTCTCAATGAAGTGCTAGAAGTCCATAAATCATTCCCCAAATTGAGATACATGAACTACAATAACAAGTAGTTTTGAACTCATGACCTTGCATCTGGAAATGTCAACGAGTATTACTAGACCATCTCTCACCTCTAAAGCAAGTTACTCATCTATTCTTATGAGTTCTATTAATAAGTGTTTTTGAGCACTTGTTAATCATACCTTTCTGATTAGATATTCAATTTTAAATACATTAATTGTATATATTACAAGGGCAGTCAGTGAATTGGAAATTGCAAGATTTTCTTATCTAGTTGTTTATCAAGCATCATCGGAATATTTTTTTGACAAAACCCTTAGATTAATTGAGATTAGTCAAATTTTGTGTAATAATTGTTCGTAACGTTTCCCTAAATACCCTTTAGGTAAGTTTGACTTTTTCCCCAGCAAAATGTTCAACCTAAAGGGCCATAACATTACTTGGACACGACACTTGCTTCTACATCAATCGAATCTAGCCGTCCAACCGTCTCTATTAGACCAGAAAGTTCTACAAGGAAAATTCAAAGACGCAAAAGACTAGACTGTTTTGGCAAAATTGATGGCACACTTTCATTTTTGACAATTATACCCTCTATTAAAAGTCTATACGTTTGCCACAAACAAAAAAAAAATTGTGACGGAAAATTCACTGATGGCAACACACAAGACCTTGAAACTAAATGACTCAGATTGCAGTACAATGTACAATAAATCGAGAGACTGTACATATGGCATTCAATAGGCAATATTATCAATTTCATTCTCGGTTAGAGTTTCCTTTTCACCCTGTCTTATTGGTAATTGATGATTAACACTTAACTACTTATAACCTCTACTCTAATGGAGAATATGATACTTCTAATTTTCATAGACGATCATCAAAATTATTGAGTAGTTAATGATAAAACGATGGTCAATCAATCATCATATATTCGGTTACCACGTAACATCGACATTGTGTATACTTAAATTTCACATAGGTTTCATGTGGTTGTCACGTCTACACTTTATCGATGAACTATAATCAGATTTCGGTGAAATTGTATTGATTAGACGAACATGAAAAAAGCAATCGGTACATAAAAATCAATCGTGGCAAATTGCTCCCTTCTGAACTCTATAAAGTGTTTTGAGGGAGAAAAAAACTCTATAAAGTGTGGCTCTCACCGAAAAGTTCACCGTACAAAAGCAAGTCTTTCTTCATTATCATCATAAATTTACGTGACCCCACATAATGGCAAGAAGCATTTTTCGGGGGCCACTAAATATTTGTACATTTATTTTCACGAAGTTTCTTTCATTTTCCATATCAAGATGGGCTCTCTGCCCTTTGCCGACGCCACTTGCTCTATTTGGTAGGTTTAATGCCATCAAGATTTTTTTCTTTGTTAGTTTCATTGCCTCATCATTTCAGCTAGGTATTTGGCGCAAGTTCATTCCTGGAAAAGAAGTTCTTAAACGAGTTTATAACAAAAAAAGGTTGGATTCGTACTACTTGCTCAACTAGACACGTGATGCTAGACTTAATGTGGGATTCGCCTGATCGAAACGAGACACATATACACTGACCCAGTATCTATTTATTCATCCGACAAATATTCTAATCTTGCTTTACCATTTTGGGAGTTAAAACATCTTCATCTAAAGATAATTGACATTTATGCGGTTTAAAATTACTTTTGAATTGCCTCAATCACTCATATTTTGTGACGTGACGAACTCTAATACAATAGTGTTTTAGACAACTTCTGGTGTTCTCAAGTTTTAAGCGACTAGTGCCTAGGTGCTTCCAAAACCATAAATGTTCCGGTGACTAATTAATGATAGCCAAATGACAAGCTAGTCGACTTAATGTAAAAGAGCATTTTCCACACACGAGCTCGTTGAATTCATCTTTAAACAACGTTGAGAATAGAGAGCACTATGTTTTCTCGATGTTGAAGTTTACCGAAGGGCATTGATTTCAATTTTTTTTTAAAAAAAAAAGGTAAAGACGTGAAGGTTGACATTCTTACGATTCCAAAACTCAGTTCTTGTATTTTAGCAAGTGGCCCAACCTAAGGTTATTTCTGCAAGTTTTATTACGTGTTTGAAAGGTGTGCCTATTTCCACACACTTCATATGGCTAAAATGTTCTCCAACTTAACGAGTTGACGAACATAACCTCAAGGAAGCTATTGAATCAAAATCACAAATGAAAAGGGTGAAAGTTGCTATTCATTAAGAACGAAAAATTCACAGATTGTCAAAAAAATATAAGACTGTCCGCATTAATCCAAACAATCATATTTTATTCCACCACCTTATGTCGTTTTCCGTTCATGTTTATACAGATTTTCATTTATTGCCAATGTGTTTAAACTGATTTCTATAAAGGTTTTTCTATAATGATTTTGAACTTTGTCGGCAATTTCTGTTAAATAGCATATATAAAATATAAATAATTATTATAAAGAGTTCACAACGCTAACAAAAGACTTCCCCTAGAGAACTAAATAATTGTATATTACAAGGAATTATTAGAGATTTAACTTTAGAGGGACATTGTAAAATAAATATACTTTATTAATATTCTTTTCAATTATAATTTCCGATCACTAAATTTATTAGAATACTAGAATCTGAGATGATTCTCGTAAAAACAACGAACATGTAAACTTCTCTGATTTGAACACAAAAGAAGAAGAAACAAGAATATATGAAAGGTTGATAAAAATCATTAAATTATTTATCTATATTAAAAGTATACTTTTCCGCTTTCATCAATGGCTAGCGAGGGATATTTTGGGCCATTTAAATTTTAGTTAGTTTCTACATCAATTTGAAAAGTGGAAATAGTATGAGATCTATATAGATAAATATATTTATGTATGTATGTATATGCTCGATTTTAAATGGATATTTAAGCAGATGGGCTTCATATTCATGCACTCAACAAGTCCTTCAAGTCTCTTTTATATACACGATATTTTCTGAACCCAGTCTTTTCTATCTTTTGTGATGGTCCCGCCGGCGAAACTCACGTTAGAAGACCCGAAGGAAATGGTCGAAGAGATGGATGATTTATTAGTGTTGACATGTTGACATCATGATGTATATGATATGCGACGAGTAACACGAACTTGGGAGAGCTTTACTCACCGATTACCAAGAAGCTTATGAAGCCTGATGATCATGTCAACCTCGTCTTCTTGGAATGCCCCTCTCTTGATGTTGGGCTTCAGATAGTTCAACCACCTCAACCTGCAACTTTTCCTGCACCTGTTCAACCCTGCAAACTCAAACCCATTGATACATACTCTTATTGTAACAGCGAAAGTAGCTCTCTCTTTCTCTGGGGTGATCAATTGTATACCTGCTCTGTGAGGGACTAGGTGCCAATTTCCTTCACCATATTTTTCCACGCACTTCTTCAGCAACACGTCCTCTTCCTCAGTCCATGCACCTTTTCTCACTCCTATTGCTCCTTTCATTGTCTCCTCTCTCTGTCTCTCTCTCGCGCGCGCGCGGACACACTTTTTTGGTGCAGAAACAATTCAGGACCAAAGTATGAGCACGTGTTGAACGAAGGTTCACTTGAAAAAGCCATATATATAAGCAGGGGATCAAAGTTCAGTAAGGCCCATCTGTCCAGATACATGTATAAAGTGTTGCGGGTGTACGACCGAAGTGAGTGAGAGTGAGTGTCGTGCATGTCTAACATCCACACACAACCATCTCCGAATTCCTGTGGCTCCAACGATGGCGAGAGTTTTCTCTGTCTCCATTCCAGTCAACTAACAGTCTAATTGGATCCTAGCCGTTGGAAGTGTGCTTCTCTGTAGGAGCTTTGACGGGGCTTTTGTCGCCATGTGGAGTGGTTGTTCTTGCTCTTGATTAAACTAATCAATCCATTTTTTTTATAAGATTTGTCTACGATGCTAGAGAGACTTAAAAAGCTGAAGCTATGCTATCACTATGTTGTATGTCTCTGAGTTTCAATAGCAGCCGGGTTCACGGAGTGAAGATGCCTGAACAAACCATTTAACATCCTTCGAATAGACCTAGGTCATGCAAGGAATCAGAAAAGTGGTTGATTTCTGGGTTGTTAGGCTTCTACTTTTAAGGGTTGCACTGTGAGTAGGAGGGGACCGTCGCAAGACATGGTGGTTTGGGTGACAAGTAAGGCGAGGTGCATAGGGACGGCAGGAGAAGTAGAAAAGACAGTATGGTCGAATAACTTGGGTTAGTGAATAGTGACATAGGTCAGAGAGAATTAAGTTTAGTGGCGACCGACACTTTTGCATCAGAGGTGGCATGTCGAGGGATGATGTTATGCAGACCAAGTTTGTTCCTCCGAGGAAGTCGGAGCGAAGCTTGGGCTCGGTAGACGTCTGGAGCGGCTAAGCAGCCCCTTGGGGGGCGCTGGGAGAGTGGCAATATGGTGCAGCGAATCAAGACTATGACTCAATTATTGAGTTTGTATCCGAGTGATATCCAAACTTATCCTTTACCAGACAATAAACAGCTAGGGGGACTATTCCCCCACCATGCGGCCATCTATAATTTCCATCCCAAACTCAAAATTAAATCCCAAAAAAACCCCAACCTCTCCTCTCATTCTCTCTCTTTGATTCTCCCATCTCTCTTTGCTAAGCTCTGTTGATGCACCCACAGTAGCTGCAAACTGCCACGCTCGGCTGCCCTAGCAAGTCATCGCATACCACCAACAGAATTACCAAAACAGTCCTAAATCTTTTGCATTTATGCCAATTCAGTCAATCCGATCAAATTTGATCGGAAATAGCTAACATGAACGCCGGTCATCCTACATAGCGCGGTCAGGCTGACGTGAACATTTTTAAATAAAATTTTAATAATTTGTCGAATTATTTATTTATTCTTTTCTTTTTCCTTTTTTTTTCTTTTCTTTCTCTTTCTCTTTTTTCTTCCATTCTTCCTCTAGCTGGTCGCTAGACCTCGGCACCGACTGGCAAGATCGACCTCGCCAGCCACTGGGGAGGGCGAGCCTCACCCTCCCCTGGCGAGGTTCGCCCTCGCCAAATCCGGCGAGGTTGAGCCTTGCCCAGCTTGTCGTTGTTGGCAAGGTCAAGCCTCACCCTTGCCGGCCCTCGCCCCTTGCCTTTGCCTAGTCGCCGAGGTCCAATGACCAACTAGAGGAAGAAGGGAAGAAAAAAAAAAGAAAGAAAAAAGGAAAAAATAAAGAATAAATAAATAATTCGAAAAATAATTAAAATATTATTTAAAAATATCCACATCAGCTCTGACTGCACCACGTAGGACGCCCAACGTCCATGTCAGTAATTTCAGGCCAAAATTGGCTAAATGGACTGAATTGGCACAATTATAATAATTTTAGAACTTTTTTGGTAATTTGCCGTAGTGCCGCCACTCCCAAGTTTGCATTGTCATTGTCATTCCATTCTTCCCTTGGCTCAACACAAACATGCCCTCTTTCTCCCTTACCCTTCATTCACTCTCTTTCGAGTCACAATCACTGTTCGTGTCGTAGTAGCCGTCGATTGTCCTCATCAATAGTGGCAACGAGCTCGAGATGAGACTGAAGGCTCAGGTGTGCTCGACACAACCTAGATCTCAGATCTAAGGCTCCCTGGATGATGAATCGAAGTTGACCTTGTTATGGCTATAGATATAACCTAGAGGGGGTGGATATGTTATATAATGAAACTTGATATATTTTTGCGGAATAAAGAGAATCAAGTTGATATGTGCAAAAACAGTTTGATATATGCGAGAATGAACTAGTTATGTCAAGTGCGTTGCTCCTATAAGATAAATATAGAAATAAACAGAGAGATAGAAGGTTGTGCACGTAGATCTTTATAGTGCTTCGACTTAGATTAAGCCTACGTCCACTCTTCTAAACTTGTTGACACCTAAATTTTGGTGATCCTATTCATTACATAAAAAAAAATTAAGGATCGACCTTGACCTCCAAATAAAAATATTGTTAGATTACACCAACATATTAGGAGCATTGTCATTTAGTAGTAATAAGCCAACATAAATTGCATCATAATTGGATTAAGTTAAGCAAGGATGCTCTTAGCTTAATTGCAGTATCTGGACTAAGCCCAACAGAATACAAAATTTGGGCAAGCCCATAATAGCCAAAATTTCACATAGGGATGCACCTGAGGGACGTCAAATTAGGAAAGATTGTGTTTTTTAATTGAAGAATAATAAAGAATATTGAGCTCAAAATTTTGGTTATTGAATAGGGAATGAAAGAGATATTTTATTTTCCTATCTTGAATATGAGGTGGCTAGCAATGATCGCCTAGAGGAGGGGTTGAACATGTGTTTTTAACAATTCTTGATAAATTTAAAGTGGAATTCAAAAGATCAAGTACAAAGTCTGAGCTTGAAGTACAACGTTCAGATTTTAAACAATCTTTGGACTTTAAGGGATGAGAAAATTTGCACACAAGACGTATAGTGGTTCGATTTAGATCAAGCCGACGTCCACTCTCCCATGCTAATAGCTTACTTGTTGGATTCTACTAGATTATCAATGAGAGATCACAGTTAAGTTGTGCCACTTATACCCAAGCGCTTCTACCTAAAGCTGGTGCTGCTTATACCAAAGCCGATAGATCACACTATCTCACACCTAAGCACACACTTATGACACTGTCTACACCTTTTAAATGATTACAATTTTAAGCTCAAGAAAGATAAGTATATAGGATCGAACTTTGCTCAGACTTTGGAATTCTAGATTCTGGACTTTGTCTCTTGCTTCTGCTCCTTGGTACCTTATTCTCCTTTTATACTCCTCTACTTCCAATCTAGCCACTGGACAGTATTTAGAGGATCGTCTTCCAATTTACCCGTTGGACAGAACTGTATCAAGAAGATTGAGTAGCCGTTGAGGGACAAAATCTGAATCTCCGTTGATTCTGCTCACCCATATAACAAAAGTCTTGGTTTCCATAAGCATAGCTTCTCCATTTAGAAAGTAACTTGTCTCGAGATCGATTTGCCAATCATTTAAGATGTTTTGCATATTAAACCGTTGCAAAACAATCTTCAAGATTGAGTCAATCAAATCTTTATAAATGTGAAATTCAAACCAAATCACTAGCCTTTATTTATGTTATGATCTTATGTCACATTCTGAATTTGTGCCACGTTCTGGACTTGACTTACGTTGTGGACTTACATTCTGAACTTGTGTCAGGACGTAAACATAATAAGTTCTCTACGTCTGAAGTTCTTCATCTCCAGTATAAAGTTTGAACCTTTTTTACTTGAAGTAAATTCCACAATCTGAACTTGAATAAAATTAAGATTGACATATGCTTCTCTTCCAAGAATAACTTCTTGAATCAAAATAGTTCAAGGTATTTATCAGACTTATGAAACACATGAATAGTTTGTCAACTTCAAAATCTATTAGAAGGTTTCCTCAACATAATGTATCACACAATTTCTTTGTTTCAATTTAGGAAAGGGATATCTTAAGAAAAGCCGCAATCTTTGCCTATATAAGCACATTGGTCTCTTGAAGTTAAAAAAACGGTTCACAAGAGGGAGTTCGGCAATACACAACAGAAAAAAAAAACACAAGAGAGCACAAAACAAAAAAAATACATACATGAGCTCTCTCTCCCACAACCCCCTAGAAAATTTCCAGCTTGCAGTTTCACGAAATTGATGAGTATGCATTCATTAACAATTGGATTGCGCTCCAATCTTATGGAGAGTACGGCAAGACATTGTTCTTGAGTTTGTATGGTGGAGATGGTGAAATAATATTTAAAAGTATATATTTGAAGGAGAAAATCCTATTGGTCGGACTGCAAGAGAGTCTAACGTGCGGTCACGTGAAAAGGGTAAGTATGTGTTCGTTTTAAGTCGGAATGCGTTGAATTTGAGGAAACCTCTACGTCACCTAGTTCTTTAACTTTGCCAAAGGAATCGAGCTCAAAGATCTAAATATCCCCTTGTTATGTTCAAAGTCCGTGATGTTGCTGTTCATCGCCTCTTGAAGTTTGCCCCATTTCTAGCAATTTATTTAGTACCTTTAATTTATTGAGTGCTACAGTATTGATTGCACACCCACATGGTCACATATCACATGTTAGTGGTTTAGAATTTAAAATTTACCAAGACTACTTGTAAAATATTTTTGAAATTAAAGAGAAAATGTATGAAAATGGCGTTAGATTTATTTAGCGTAATTAAGTTGTAGAAGAATATTTTTCTCTATATTGAATAATACTGTACATCATTACAATCTTTCTTATATACAATACAGGGGATAACCCTAGCATCTCAATAAATCAGGAAAAAACTGTAATAAAGGAAAAATAAAAAAATCCCTATTTTGTAGGAAATACAGCTCACGCCAACACTCCCCCTCAAGTGGGTGAGAAGATGTCTTCGATACCTATCTTGACAAGTGAGCTCTGAAACGCTCTACTTGACACAGCTTTGGTCAAAATGTGAGCCAATTGATCTTCAGATTTGACAAAAGGCAACTGAATTACTTTAGCATCCAAATTCTCCTTGACAAAGTGTCTATCAACTTCAACATTTTTGGTTCGATCATGCTGAACCGGGTTGTGAGAGATAGCTATAGCGGCTTTATTGTCACAAAACAACATCATCCCAGACTCTGGTGGATACCCAAGTTCGGACAACAGCTTTTTAAGCCATAATAACTCACACAACCCCTTCGCTACTCCTCGGAATTCTGCCTCGGCACTGGACAAGGCTACAACTTTTTGCTTCTTGCTCCTCCACGTGACCAAGTTACCTCCTACAAATGTGAGACAACCTGACGTCGACCTTCTATCTGATGCGTTCCCTGCCCAGTCCACATCCGTATATCCTTCCACTGTAAGGTGACCATTCTTTGCAAACATTATCCCTCTCCCTGGAGCCGATTTTAAATATCGAAGGATACGATATACTGCATTCATATGTTCTTCACTAGGAGCATGCATAAATTGACTCACAACACTTACTGCATAAGCAATGTCTGGGCGAGTGTGAGACAAATAAATTAATCTTCCTACTAACCTTTGATACCTCTCCTTATTAGTCGGCACTTGATCATGATACTCCCCAAGTTTATGATTCTGCACTATAGGAGTATCAGCGGGCTTACAGTCCAACATTACCACTTCAGCCAACAAATCAAGTACGTATTTTCTCTGTGACAAGAAAATTCCTTCCTTAGACCTAGCTACCTCAATACCCAAGAAATATTTCAGTCTTCCCAAGTTCTTCATCTCAAACTCTTCTGCCAACTT